GATATTTTAATCGGTTCCCACTGGTGGGCCACGGCATCTCTGCTGGGGTGCTGGGAAGAGAAAAAAACACCGGCTGTTCAGGAGGGAGAGGGATCTGTTGACTGAACAAAGCAAGCTTACTTTTCTGTAGCTTCTTCTGAGGGACAGCTGAGAGGCCACCGTTTGCCAGTAGTCAGTAATGCTTAAACTTTACCTGTGGGAGACAGCATTGAGACACATCACAGAACTGGCTAACCACACAATAGGAAGTGGACGTTATGCTGAAACAGGGGAAAGAAGGGAATGCATGTGGAAGACCTGAGTCTGTCTTCAAGTCCCTCCAGAAGTGTCCTTCATTTGGGGGAATGAGAAATATCTCTTGAATGTTACTGAAGATACCTATTCAGGACATAGCTGAAGATATTTTCTCAGTACCTCTGTTCTTTAACCTCAGTCAAGCTACAGTCATAGATTCTAGATTGAAACCAAACTTAACCTTTGCCCAAATTAGAAAAAAAAAAATGAGGTTTAGCAATTAAAAACAAAGCTGGGCATAGTGGCTCATGCCTGTAATCCCAACATGTTGGGAGGCCAAGACAGAAGGACTGCTTGAGGCCAGGAGTTTGAGACAAGATTGGGCAATATAGTAAGATCTTATCTCCATAAAAAATTGAAAAAATTAGCCAAGCATGGTGGCTAGTCCTGAGTAGCTAGGACTCAGGAGGCTGAGGCGGGAGGATTGCCTGAGCCCAGACATTCTAGGCTGCAGTGAGTTATAACTGAACCATTGCAACTCCAGCCCAGGCAACCAAGTGACACCTTGTCTCAAAAAAAAAATTTTTTTTTTAAACCCCAAAACGAAACAACAAAAACTCTGCTCGGTACCCATTCCAAAGTCTAGTCAACCTGTGTTCATTGAGAACACAGGGTGTGCCCAGCTTCCGTTTCCTTCAGAGGCTTTCGTCTCAAACAGCAGGGTCCCTTCTGGGCAACAGAAATTGGGCATAGCAGTAGACAGTCAGATGACATGGCTTTAGGAATGTCACACCCCCTTCTCTATAAAAGGGGAAGACATAGTTGCCACAATTTCTGAAGTCCCTTGTAATTTAGTCTGGATTTTTCTTTTTCGTTTTTTTGTGTTTTTTTGTTTTGTTCTGTTTTTCTGTTTTGTTTTTTTAGACGGAGTCTTGCTCTGTCACCCAGGCTGGAGTGCAGTAGTGGGATCTCGGCTCACTGCAACCTCTACCTCCCAGGTTCAAACTGATTCTCCTGCCTCAGCCTCCCGAGCCAGCTGAGATTACAGGCATGGTGCACCCATATCCCGGCTGATTCTTGTATTTTTAGTAAGACGGGGTTCACCATGTTGGCCAAGCTGGTCTCAAACTCCTGACTTCAAGTGATCCACCCACCTCGGCCTCCCAAAGCTGCTGGGATTACCAGGCGTGAGCCAGTGTGACCGGCCAACTTAGCTGTTTTGTAGGCACGATGTGACCCTCTGTGAGACCAAAAGAGAAGCTCATATTTGTCCAGGATGGAGAAACTCCTCAGCACAATGGCGTTGGTGCTTTAAGACTTGGCTGTACTTCTTTGGTTTCTGCTTCTCCTTAATATTTTTCCAGGTGCTTCTTTTATTAACCCAATCAGGCTCTTGAGTTTTTTTAAGGAGATATTTTTAAAATATTACATTAAGCTGGGCCCACAGTGACATGTGCTTTGTAATCCCAGCTACTTGGGGAAGCTGAGGCAGGAGGATCACTTGAGTCCAGGAATTTGAGGACCAGCCTGTGATGGCCAAGGCGCAGTGGCTCACACCTGTAATCCCCAGCACTTTGGAAGGCCGAAGGCAGGTGCGGATCACAAGGTCAGGCGATCGAGACATACGCCGGCTAACATTGGTGAAACCCCACCTCTACTAACAAAATACAAAAAATTTAGCTGGGCATGGTGGTGGGCCGCGTGTAGTCCCAGCTACTCTGGAGCTTGAGCCCGGAGAATGGCATGAACCTGGGAAGGCAGAGGTTGCCAGTGAGCCGAGATTTGTACCACTGCACTGCCAGCCGGGTGACAGAGCAAAACTCCATCTCAAAAAAAAAAAAAAAAAAAAAGGAAAAAGAAAAAGAAAAGAGACCCGCCTGTGTATAACCCAGCAAGACCACAATTCCTTCCAAACACAAAAAATTAATATTTGAGGCCACCTTCCTACTAGTAGTGGTGGTGGGAGAGGAGGCTGGTTGAAATAACCTAGTCCACCATTATTGAAATGGAAGTCCTTATGATTCTATTTTCATAAATATTTTGTTTTTGTAGCCAAAGTAGCAATCAATGGAGGTTTCCAGAAACTTGAGAACTTAAATCTTTCAATCAATCACAAGATTACAGAGGAAGGATACAGAAATTTCTTTCGAGCACTGGACAACATGCCAAACTTGCAGGAGTTGAACATCTGCAGGCATTTCACAGAGTGTATCAAAGCTCAGGCCACAACAGTCAAGTCTTTGAGTCAATGTGTGTTACGACTGCCAAGCCTCATTAGACTGAACATGTTAAGTTGGCTCTTGGATGCAGATGATATTGCATTGCTTAATGTCATGAAAGAAAGACATCCTCAATCTAAGTACTTAACTATTCTCCAGAAATGGATATTGCCGTTCTCTCCAATCATTCAGAAATAAAAGATTCAGCTAAAAACTGCTGAATCAATAATTTGTCTTGTGGCACACTGAGGATGTAAAAAAAGTTGTTCAATTAATGCTAAAAACCAACTTATCCAAAATTATTTTATTAAATATTGCATACAAAAGAAAATGTGTAAGGCTCGCTAAAAAACAGAACAGAACAAAACAAAAAACAGTCCTGCATACTCACCACCAAGCTCAAGAAATAAATCATCACCAATACCTTTGAGGTCCCTGAAAAATCCACCCCAGCTAAAGGTAAACCCTTCAATCAAGTTGATACAGCTAACGCTCTATTGTCCATGGTCAACAGGGAAGGGGTTGGGGACAGGTCTGCCAATCTATCTAAAAGCCACAATATGGAAGAAGTGTTCAATTTATATAATAAATGGCTAACTTAATGATTGAATCGGTTTCATACATGGATGAAACGAGTTTAACACAGGATCCACATGAATCTTCTGTGGGTCAAGAGATATTCCTTAAGCCTTGTAGAACCTGTTTTCTATATTGAACTAGCTTTGGTACAGTAGAATTAACTTACTTTCCCTTTATCCACTGCCAGTGTAAAGAGGAAACAGGGGTTAGGGAAAAATGACTTTATTCCAGAGGCTTTTCAGAGTTCAACATATGCTATAATTTAGAATTTTCTTATGAATCCACTCTCCTTGGGTAGAAAATATTTTATCTCTAGTGATTTCATAATATTATTTCCATATCATAGTATTTCATAGTATTATATCTGATATGAGTGTCTATATCAATGTCAGTGTCCAGAATTTCATTCCTACCAGTTAAGTAGTTTTCTGAATGGCCAGAAGACCATTCTAAATTCATGATACTACTGTAAGTTGGTAAACAACCATACTTTTATCCTCATTTTTATTTTTAGTAAGAAAAAAGTCAATTCTCCTCCCCTTGCCCAAGTATGAAATATAGGGACAGTATGTATGGTGTGGTCTCATTTGTTTAGAAAACCACTTACGACTGAGTGCAGTGGCTCACACCTGTAATCCCAGCACTTTGGGAGGCTGAGGCGGGCGAATCATTTAAGGTCAGGAATTTGAGACCAGCCTGGCCAGCATGGTGAAACCCCATCTCTACTAAAAATACAAAAACTAGCCAGGTGTGGTGGCACATGCCTGTAGTCCCAGTCACTAGGGCAGCTGAGATGCAAGACTTGCTTGAACCCGGGAGGCAGAGGTTGCAGTGAGCTGAGATGGCGCCACTGCATTCCAGCCTGGGCAACAGAGTGAGACCCTGTCTCAAAACAAAAAACAAAAAACAAAACCACTTACATTTCTAGCTACATTAAGAATTTCTGAATATGTTAATGAGCTTGCTTGTGGTAACCGTTTATCATATCAGAAAGTATATGTATACCAAAACATGTTGAACATCCATGTTGTACAACTGAAATATACATAATTTTAATTTGTTAATTATACCTAAATAAAACTGGAAAAATATTCTGGAAGGATGTATCTAAAAATGTTAATAGTGGGTACCTCTAGGAAGTGGGCCTGGAAGCCATTTTTAGTTTTCACTCTCTCCCTTTCTGTATCGCTTTTTGTTTTACTAGTGCCTGCATTATTTTTCTGTTTAAAACAAAAATAAATCTAGTTTAGCACTAAAACATTAACTGGAGCTACCTCTGGAGGGCAAGAGTACTAGAAGGTGGGATGGATAGTCTTCTTGCTTGTCTGATTTTATATGTAATACCTTTGTAATTAGAAAGGTTGTTAAGCATTATATCTGAATGCAGTCAGGAGAGAGAAACCACACAGCAATTTGAATGGGGAAAGTTTAATTTACAGATGCTTGGCCGGATGCAGTGGCTCACGCCTGTAATTCCAGCACTTTGGGAGGCCAAGGTGGGCAGATTACTTGAGGTCAGGAGTTTGAGACCAGCCTGGCCAACATGGTGAAATCCTGTCTCTACTAACAATACAAAAAAAATAAAAAATAAAAAATAGCCAGGCATGGTGGTGTGCAACTGTAGTCCCAGCTACTTGGGAGGCTGAGGCAGGAGAATTGCTTGAACCCAGGAGGTGGAGGTTGCAGTGAGCCAAAATTGTGCCACTGCACTCCAGCCTGGGTGACAGAGCATGACTCCATTTCAAAAAAAGTAAAAATAAAATAAAAATATACAGATGCTCCTCAACTTACAACAGGGTTATATCCTGAAAAACCCATTGTAAGTAAAAATATCGTACATCAGGCATTTAATATACCTATACTACCGAACATCATAATACATGAAAAACTCTTAAGATTCCATGCAAATTATTTGTTCAGAGCTTCTTCTAAGGGCTTTTAGTTCAAGCAGGGGTCAGTAAAGTATGGCCCTGGACTGTCCAGCCCTCAAGCTAAGAATGGTTTTCACATTTTTTAAAGCAACAGAGACTATCAGTGGCCTACAAAGCTAAAATATTTACTCTGTTTTTTTTTTTTTTTTTTTTTGAGACGGAGTCTTGCTCTGTGCCCCAGGCTGGAGTGCAGTGGCGCGATCTCGGCTCACTGCAAGCTCCGCCCCGCCGGGTTCACGCCATTCTCCTGCCTCAGCCTCCCAAGTAGCTGGGACTATAGGCGACTGCCACCTCGCCCGGCTAATTTTCTTGTATTTTTAGTAGAGATGGGGTTTCACCATGTTAGCCAGGATGGTCTCGATCTCCTGACCTCGTGATCCGCCCGTCTCGGCCTCCCAAAGTGCTGGGATTACAGGCTTGAGCCACCGCGCCCGGCCTTACTCTGTTCTTTTACAGAAAATGAACTACTTTTATGACAAAATACTTTTGAATCATAAGCTCATCACATCCTTTATTCTAGTGTACATCAGTCTTCATAGGACTCCCAAGTCATCCCTCATTGACCCAACACCTGTCCTCATGGTTGTAAGCCTTCCCTCCCTTCCTCCATCCATCTCCTTCCTGTCTCCCTTTCTCTTTCCCTCTCTCCCTTTCTTCCTTTTCTTTCTTTGATAAAGAAAAGAGGTTTAGATGACTCACGGTTCTGCAGGCTTCACAGGAAGTATGGTGCTGGCATCTGCTCGGCTTTTAGGGAGGCCTCAGGAACTGAAAATCATGGTGGAAGGTGAGCACACATGTCACATGACAGAAGCAGACACAAGTGAGAGACAGTGGGGGCGCAGGTTCCATACACTTTTAAATGACCAGATCTCATGAGAACTCAGTATCAACACAAAGATAATACCAAGCCATGAGGGATTTGCCTCCATGATCCAAACACCTCCCACCATGCCCCATCTCCAACACTGGGGACACAATTCAACATGAGTAGAGACAAATATCCAAACCATATCATTCCACCTCTGGCCCCTCCCAAGTCTTATGTCCTTTTCACATTGCAAAATACAACCATGCCTTCCCAACAGTCCCCCAAAGTCTTAACTCATTCCAGCATTAACTCAGAAGTCCAAAGTCTCATCTGAGACAAGGCAAATCCCTTCCACCTATGAGCCTATAAAATAAAAAACAAATTATTTACTTCCAACATACAGTAAGGGTTCAGGGGTTGGGGAAATATTTCCATTCCAAAATGGAAAAATCTGCCAAAAAAGGGGGCTACAGGCCCCATGCAAGTTCAAAACCCAGCATGCCAGTCATTGAATCATAAAACTCCACAGTGATCTCCATGTGGCACGCTGATATGAGGATTGGGCTCCCAAGGCCTTGGGCAGCTCTGCTCCTATAGCTTTGCAGAGTTCAGCCCCTGAGGCTGCTGTCACAGGCTGGAGTTGATTGCCTGTGGCTTTTCCAGGTGCAGGGTACAAGCTGCTAGTGGCTCTACCATTCTGGAGTCTGGAGAACAGTAGCCCTCTTCTCACAGCTCCAGTAGGCAGTGCCCCAGTAGGGACTCTGCATGGGGCCTTTAACCCCACATTTCCCCTCCACACTGCCCTAGTAGAGGCTCTCTGTGAGGGCTCTGCCCCTGCAGCAAACTTCTGTTTGGACACCCAGGCTTTTCCATACATCCTCTGAAATCCAGGCAGAGGCTACCAAGAATCCACCATTTTTGCATTCTGTGCGCCTGCAGGCTTACCACCTAATGGAAGCTGTGAAGGCTATGGCTTATGCCCTCCAAAGTAACAGCCCAAGCTATACCTAGGCCCCTTTGAGCCCCTGCTGGAGTTGGAGCCATTTGGATGCAGTGTTCTGAGGTTGCACACAGGGCCCAGCTCAGGAAAACATTCAGTCCTCCTAGGCCTCAGGGCCTATGATAGGAGGGGCTGCCCCATAGGTCTCTGAAATGCCTTTGAGGCCTTTGCCCCATTGTCTTGGATATTACCACTTGGATCCCTTTCAGTTATGCAAATATCAACAAGTGGTTGCTCCACAACCTGCTTGAATTCCTTGATGAGAAAGTGTTTTCTATTTTTTTACCACATGGCTAGGCTGCAAATTTTCCAAACTTTTAGGCTCTGCTTCCTGTTTAAATGTAAGTTCCAACTTTAAGTCATTCATTTGCTCCCACATCTCAGCACAGGCTGTTAGAAGCAGCAGGCCACATCTTGAATGCTTTGCTGCTTAGAAATTTCTTCTGCCAGATACCCTAGGTCATAATTTTTAAGTTCAAACTTCCACAGATCCCTAGGGCACAAACAGAATGCAGCCAAGTTATTTGCTAAGGCATAACATGTGACTTTTGTTCCAGTTCCCAATAAATTACTTGTTTCCTTTTGAGACCTTGTCAGCCTGGACTTCACTGTCCATATCACCATCAGCATTTTGGTCACAACCATTTAACCAGTCTCTTAAGAAATTCCAAACTTGGCCAGGCGCGGTGGCTCACGGTTGTAATCCCAGCACTTTGGGAGGCCGAAGGAGGTGGATCACGAGGTCAGGAGATCGAGACCATCCTGGCTTAACATGGTGAAATCCCGTCTCTACTAAAACTACAAAAAATTTTTAAAAACTGGTGTTGGGTGCCTGTAGTCCCAGCTACTTGGGAGGCTGAGACAGGAGGATGGCATGAACACAGGAGGTGGAGCTTGCAGTGAGCCAAGATGGCGCCACTGCACTCCAGCCTGGGCGACAGAGAAAAAAAAGAAGTTCCAAACTTGCCGGGAGTGGTGGCTCACGCCTGTAAATTTAGAGTCAGGCCTCTGAGCCCAAGTCAAGCCATCGCATTCCCTGTGACTTGCACATATACTCCCAGATGGCCTTAAGTAACTGAAGAATCACAAAAGAAGTGCAAATGCCCTGCCCCACCTTAACTGATGACATTCCACCACAAAAGAAGTGAAAATGACCGGTCCTTGCCTTAAGGGATGATATTGTCTTGTGGGATTCCTTTTCCTGACTCATCCTGGCTCAAAAAGCTCCCCCACTGAGCACCTTGTAACCCCCACTCCTGCCCACCAGAGAACAACCCCCCTTTGACTGTAATTTTCCTTTACCTACCCAAATCCTATAAAATGGTCCCACCCTTATCTCCCTTCGCTGACTCTCTTCGGACTCAGCTCGCCTGCACCCAGGTGAAATAAACAGCCATGTTGCTCACACAAAGCCTATTTGGTGGTCTCTTCACACAGACGCGCATGACACTTAACACTTTGGGAGGTCGAGGTGGGTGAATCACTGAGGTCAGGAGTTCAAGACCAGCCTGGCCAACATGGTGAAACTCCATCCCTACTAAAAATACAAAAATATTAGCCAGGCGTGGTGGCGCATGCCTGTAACCCCAGGCATGGGAGGCTGAGGCAGGAGAATCGCCTGAACCTGGGAGGCAGAGGTTGCAGTGAGCCAAGATCATACCACTGCACTCCAGCCTGGGTGACAGAGCAAGACTCCACCTCAAAAAAAAAAAAAAAGTTCCAAACTTACCCTCATTTTCCTGTCTTTTTCTGAGCCCTGCAAACTCTTCCAACCACTATTCACTACCCAGTTCCAAAGCTGCTTCCACATTTTCAGGTATCTTTATAGCAATGCCCAACTTCTTGGTACCAGTTTTCTGTATTAGGGCATTCTTATACTGCTATAAATACCTGAAACTGGATAATTTACAAAGAGGTTTAATTGCCTTATGGTTCTGCAGGCTTTACAGGAAGCATGGTGCTGCCATCTGCTTGGCTTCTAGGGAGACCTCAGGAAGCTTACAGTCATCGTGGAAGGTGAAGGGGTAGCAGACACATCACATGGTAAAAGCAGGGGTAAGTGAGAGAGCTAAACTCCTGCTTTTTGGTCACATACATATCCTAACCTGCTCCAACTCCCTAAATCCTTCCACTGTGTCCACATGGGTAGAATCTCCTATATCCACAACTTATGTCAACATTCCTTCTACCTTCTTGATCTAACTCCTTATTCTCAGGCTTTTTTTTTTTTTAACCATGACCCACGATTAATAAATTTTCCATCAAAACGCCATACGCACATACATGCACACACATATGCGTATACACAACTGAAGTTCCACAAAACAAATCTTACTAAAATAAAGCTATATCCGATGATTTTATTAACATCCAAATAAATGAAAATTCAGAAATACAAAGTTCCGTGAAAGAGTTGTTTATATGCACTGTCAACTGTTCGCGTATTCTTATGTTCTCTCCCTCCAGGATTTTACCTCCTCCATTCCACCAAAACAGCTCTTACGAGGGTCACCAATGAGCTCCACATTGCTAAATTCGTGAATACTTCTCAGTCCTCACTTTAGTTGACCCGTTAACAAATTTGACCTATTGGTTTTCATATGGCCCATCATCCCCTCTTCCTCAAAACACTGCCTTCATTTGGCTTCCAGAGCATCCCTCTTGATTTTCCTAACTCACTGAGAGCTCCTTCTTAGTCTCCTGCACTGTTTCTCTTCATATCTGATCTCTAACCACTGAGAGAACCCCAGAGTTCTCCTCTGACGTCTTCTCTATTTGATTGCACTTCCTCAGCTATCTCCTGTAGTTGAATAGCTTTAAATTCTATATCTATACTAACTTCTACATTTCCACCTCTAGCCCAGACCTCTCCTCTGAACCATATTTTTAATTTAATAATATAGACGGGGTCTCACTTTGTTGTCCAGTCTGGTCTTGAACTCCTGGGCTCACATGATTCTCCTGCCTTGGCCTCCCCAAGTGCTGAGATTACAGGCATGAGGCACTGCACCTGGCCTGGACTCTATTCACATCCAACTTCTATTAATGGGCATCTCAATTTTCACATGTTCAAAACCCAACTTCTTTCCTGCCACAAAAGTACTCCTTATGTAGACCTCCATCTCATTAAATTCTGACTTTATTTTTCCAGATGCATAAGCCAAAAATCTTGGAGTTATACTTGACACTCCTCTTTCATACACCACATGTAATCAATCTACTGGAAAATCCTGGTGGCTCCACTTGGAAAATATACTCAGATCCAACCACTGCTACCCACACTGGCTCTAACTAGTCAGCCTGCTTCCTCCATTGAAACCTATAGTGTATTTTCAACACAGCAATCAGAAGTCTCTTTGTGTAAGTCAGATCATGCTATAACTTGGGTTCAAAAGCTTTCAACAATGGACTCCCAACTTAAAGTAAATGCTGAAGACCTTACTATCGCTGACATATGGCCTGATCCTTGACTACCTCTCTTAGCTCCATCTCTTTAATCTCTCCTCCTTACTTCCACTCCAGCCACGATTAACTCCTTGTTGTTCCCCAAACATGTTAAATACACTTGTGTCTTAGAGCCTTTGTACTTGTTATCTCCCTCGCCTGGGATACTCTCCCTCTAGTTGTACCTAGAACAGCTGAATCATCGCATAATTGCTAAAAGGACAAGTGACAACGTGACAATGTTCTTTCATCTTTTATGCTTGTACACCAGAATTTACTTGAAAAAGTTTGTAAGGGGACAAGTATGGAAGACAGATAGGTATACAAGGTAACAGGAAGGTAAAGATGATTTGAAAAATGAAAACCAATCCACTGAAAGTCATTCTAACTGGTATTTATAAATGTAAAAACAAAAATGTTTTGCTGTTATGTAACAAAGAATATAGCCATCATCTATCACTTCAACAAAACTATAAGCCCTTAAGTTTTCAAAAGTATTGCAGTTTGCACGGGTGTCGTGGCTCAACCCTGCAATTCCCAGCACTTTGGAAGGCAGGAAGATCACTTGAGGCCAGGTGTTCAAGGCCATCCTGGGCAACACAGTGAGACCCTATTCCTACAAAAAATAAAAATAAATTAAAAAACAAAAAGTATTGCATTTTGACCAAG